AGAAAAAAAAACAGGGTTGCATTATAATTCGCCCCATGAAAATCATAGGGTTGTCTTATTAGCCGGACCCGCGTTATTAAGCAACCTTGGAGTCTCAAGGGGGCACCCGGGCACCCAGGCGTGCAGCGAAAATCAGCGACAAACCTAACCTAACCGCACGAATCCGCTAGGACCCCTTACGGAGGCAAGCTCTGATGGGGGAGCATGCTCAAACATCGTGCCCAGACCAGTGTTTTACTATTCTTGGAATACTCCTCCTGTCGAGGGACGCGCCGGGCTTAAGGCTTGAGATGCCCTGGCGACGTGCTCGATCCCGAGGCGGCCCGCGGGGCTACCGCCGTCGGCCGGCCCGAGGGCCCGAGCCCCGACCGACCGACGGGGCCCCCGCGCATCCCTCGCGAGCCCTCCCAGGCCTCAAGTCGGGCCTGTCCCCCTACAGGAAGAAGATTAAAAAAAAATACTCTGGGGGCTACTGTTCAGTACTTTTCTGCGTTTGGGGGGGCATGTTTTGGAGTATGTGCAACTCTTCGCCCAGGATCCGCCTGGAGGGGGACATGCCTGACCTAGGGGCCCCAAGACGGGCCCCACCTTGGGCCCATCTTGGGTGTGCCGAAATGCGGCGGGGACGCATGCGGGCGCAGCCATTGGGGCCTTCGGCGGCGCTCCATACGAGGCCACGAAGCGCGTGAGGAAAGTGCCGAAATGGAGCGGGGCCGCCATGCGAACGTCGCCAATGAGGCTTTCGGTGGAGCTCCCTATGGGGCCACGGAATGCATGAGGGGTATGTCGAACTGGGCGGGGGGGACGCACGCGAACGTCGCCACTGGGGCCTTCCGTGGAGCTCCCCATGGGGCCACGACACGCGTGAGAGGTGTGCCGAAATGGGCGGAGGGAGAAGCATGTGGTCACAGCCAGTGGGGCCTTCGGTGGAGCTCCCTCTGGGGCCACGAAGCGCCGTCCTGGGTGGCGCGGGACGCATGTGATCACAGCCACTGGGGCCTTCGGTGGAGCTCCCCATGGGGCCACGAAGCGCCGTACTGGGTGGCGCGGGACGCATGTGATCACAGCCGCTGAGGCCTTGGGTGGAGCTCCCTATGGGGCCACGAAACGCCGTAATGGGTGGCGCGGGACGCATATGATCTCGGTGGAGCTCCCGGTGGGGTCACGAAGCGCCGTACTGGAAGGCGCGGGAGGCACGTGATCACAGCCACTGGGGCCTTCGGTGGGGCTTCCTAGCGGGCCACGAATCGCTGTAGTAATGGGCGGCGCGGGAGGCGTTTGATCACAGCCACTGGGGCCTTCGGTGGAGCCCTCTAATGGTCCACGAAGCGCCGTACTGGGTGGCGCCAGACGCATGTGACCACAGCCATTGGGGCCTTCGGTGGGGCTCCCCATGGGGCCACGAAGCGCCGTACTGGGTGGCGCGGGACGCATGTGATCACAGCCACTGGGGCCTTCAGTGGAGCTCCCTATGAGGCCACGAAACGCCGTACCAAGTGGCGCGGGACGCATGTGATGCAGCCACTGGGGCATTCGGTGGAGCTCCCTACGGGGCCACGAAACGCCGTACTGGGTGGCGCGGGACGCATATGATCACAAACATTGGGGCCGTCGGTGGAGCTCCCTATGGGGCCGTAAAACGGAATACTGGGTTGCGCGGGACACATGTGACCACAGCCACTGGGGCCAGGCGCGGGACGCATGTGATCACCGCCACTGGGGCTTTGGGTGGAGCTCCAAATGGGACCACGACGAAGCGCCGTACTGGGTGGCGCGGGACGCATGTGATCACAGCCATTGGGGCCTTCCGTGGGGCTCCAAAATGGGGCCACGAAACGCCGTACTGGGTGGCACGGGAAGCATGTGATCACAACCACTGAGGCCTTCGGTGGAACTCCATATGGGGCCACGAAACGCCGCACTGGGCGCGGAGGGCAGAGGCAGGGATGGGAAGATGGGGAGGAGAGGCTAGGAGGAGAAGGATGAGGAACTCGGGGCGCTGTCCGTGCAAAACGAAGACCCAACACCATAGGATGGCTGGGAAACAACTCTGATGTCCGCGCGGATTTCTCGGACATGCGCTGGACCGCCCTCCCTGAGTGCGACAGGGGCGGCGCTGAAGGCGCCGCCAGGTGGCCCCAGCGCCGATCCGAGGAATCCGCGCGGACCTCCGAGTTGGTATGCTTATGCTACCATGTGTTCCCATAGTTTAGCGAGTTGAAGTTTCCCCCCACTCACCTGGTCGGGAGGGGAGCGCCGCTGGTCGCTGGAGCCTCCCAAGATGGCCCAAGATGGCCCCATGGCCCAAGATGGCCTCCAAGATCGCACAAGATACAATCAAAACTGATGGTAAGATGCAAGCCCCTTGAACGCCCATGTCGAGGTTTGTGGAGCAGGGCTGGCCATCGAAAGTGGTTAAGGATGGACCGACGAACCAAGGATACAAGGGTACCCTTGAGAAGGGTACCAATCCTTACTATCGGTTTCGACTGTAGCCCAAGATGGCTCAAGATAGCTCCCAATATGCCTCCAAGAGGCACCATACCGACCCGAGACGGCCCGAAGTGGCCACGAAGCCTCTCAGGGACGCCCCCGAGAGATCAAAATCCCTCCAACAATTCGCGTCCGATGGGCTCTTGAGGCCGCAAGATGGCTACAAGATGGAGCAAGAGAGCCTCAGCGCCATAAGACGGCCCCAAGAGTGATCAAGAGCGCCACAAGAGCGCTTCAAGAGGGCTACAAGAGACGATGTTTAGGCGTTCGACGGAGAGGCTGACACACGCGCCGTCCTCCTGAGTAGCCTGCCTCCAAGACGGCCTCAAAAGAGCAGCCAAGGCACCCATGAAGGCCCCAAGAGGGGCCAAAGACAGCCCCGAAGAGGCCTTCCAAATTGCCCGAAGAGGGACCCGAAGGCCGATACTTGTCTCCTGCCGCCGCCGCCGCTGTCGTCGTCGTCGTCGTCGCCGTCGCCGCCGCCGCCGCCGTCGTCGTCGTCGTCGTCGTCGTTGTCGTCGTCTTCGTCGTCGCCGCCGTCGCCGTCGTGGCCGCCGTCGACGTCGTCGTCGCCGCCGTCGTCGTCGTGGTCGTCGTCGTCGTCGTCGGCATCGGCATCGGCATCGGCGTCGCGATCGGTCGGTCGGTCAGTCGGTCCGTCGATCCGTCCGTCCGTCCGCCTGTCCGTCCGCCTGTCCGTCCGTCTGTCCGTCCGTCCGCCTCCTCCTTCCTCCCCCATCTTCATTCTTCATCCTCTTGCACCTCCCACCTACACCTCCTCTCCCTCACCTCCCCCCCCGGCTACACGCAGGAGCGACCCTGGGTAACTGTGAGCGCCCAAGACGCTGCTGCCGCTTCACAGTCAGCGATCGGGGAACCCCATTGGGCCCGCATCAGGTCACGCCGGCGAAATGTCACTCCCACTCTGGATGGGGCAATATTCGCCTCCCCTTGGATCCGCTGGGGGGGTTGGGCACGTGCTGTCGGAACGGGTGTTGGGTTGGAGGAGGAGGAGGAGGAGGAGGAGGAGGAGGAGGGGGAGGTGGAGGAGGGGGGGGGATGGGCAAGCTCCGTCGGCAGGTCAGCCGCCTACCCCTCGATTGATATCCCACCCAAAGTACGTGCAGTTGTCCCCCGTCCCCGTCCCTCGCTCCCCGGCTCCCAAGCTCCTGGGCTCCCGGGCCCCTGGGCTCCCGCGCTACCGCGGACCCCGGACCCCCGGACCCCCCACGCCGCGCGGGCCCAGGGGGCCCTGGACCTCACGTCGGACCAAGGACATCCTGGACCCTGCAGTCCCTACAGTGGAGGCCCGTCCACAAGCAACCTTCCACAAGAAACCCAACCCTGAGACCCCAGGACGTCCATCGGTTTTTGGCGTGGGAACGTCGCGCTTCCCACAGCAAAACCATCCAAACCCAAGAAACCCAGGGCACCCTGGAGGCAAGGATGGTGCTTCTTGGCATGGGCCCCCACTGTATGGACCCCGCGGCCCTCGCCTCACGCCGGACCAAGGTGGGACCCCGCGGGCCCTATTATGGACCCCGCACCCTGGCCAGGCCCGAACTCGATCTGGGCCTCAGCGCCCCTCTGACGGGGACTCCACCAACGGGCACCTTGGCCAGTGACCCAGCGAACCCAGCCCTCCCCGATGTGGACAGCGCTGCGATGCCAGAAAGAGGCCCTGAAATGGCAATTTTCGGGAAATACCCGTTGGCGAGTACCCATTACAGGTGCCGCTGAGGGCCGGGCGGGCCCCAGACCCCTGGACCCTGGGCCCGCACCCCGCACCGCGGACTGGAGCCCGAAGGGAACCACGGTCCCGCCCTCCTTGCTAAGCATACCCTGTATTTCTTAATAGGCGTGGGGGGCTCCCCCGACGGGGGTCAACCTCGCCTCGTCGTCGCGCCGCGACGGGGGTTGGAGCGCCTTTGGCGCGTGGTGGCTGCCCGCGACGGAGGTCGATGTGGGGCTGTGGGCGGGATTGACGCCCCCCCGACGCGTATCTAGAAACTCGGAAAATGTGTTCTTTTGGGTTTCGACATGTGAGCGATGATCAAAAACGGGTTTTACGCGAGATGACGCAGCGACCTTACGCGGTGGCTTACGCACGCCGCCAGCGCGGTACGCTACTTTGAAGACGAGAGCGCTCAGGCGCGACCTTACGCAGGCAGCTTACGCACCAATGTCGGCGCAGACGACACAATTGTTGTCCCTCGCATGAGGCCGAAGGATGCGCGAGGGGTGGGGATTTGGGCCTGGGCCGGTGCTTCTCACTGGTCGATCTGCTTGTGCCACTCGCGCGAGCGAACCGGGGGGGGGTCCTGATCAGTCGCCAAGAGCAGCAGCTGAAAGCGGCCAAGATCTGGCCTTTGGGGGGGAGGAGGAGGGGGACCAGGGGCCCGCGCCGATCGGCGAAACAGTAAAATTCTCCTCCGTTTCATCCTGATTCATCCGCCTTCTCTTTCCACATGTAGCGGCTGCCCACCCTTTAGTTCCATCGCATGCTGCTACATTTCCTGATTAGGGGAATTCGCCAAGTTGAATGGGCTGGTGGAGATGCACGCAGCGTCAAGAACAGCGAAAAGTACGTAGCAATTGAATATAGGCCAGCCTGGGTGCTCCCAGAAAAATATCGCCCTTCGCAGCATCCCGAGGCGCGGGCAGGGAACTGGGCCAGGCGGCGACCAGCATGTGGAGGAAAGCGTTGACCAAAGGAGCTATGGTCAAGAAAGGTTTCCGGCCATACTGGTCGCTCAGCTTGGCGAGGATGGGGTTCACGAACAGCTCGATCAGGCCTGCGAAGGCACCCCGGAGGCCTTCAGAGGCCTCCAGAGGCCCATGGAGAGAAGGCCTCGCAAATACGCAACTCCTCCTCCTCCTCCGCCTCCGCCTCTTCCTCCGCCTCCTCCTCCTCCTCCTCCTCCGCCTCCTCACAAGCCCAAAATGTGCTGCCCCGAGCAATCCCCGCCAAAGAAGGCGAGGCGGGACATCCTCGGGGAGCGGCGGCGGGGCCCTTTAGGGGCCTGGTGGTCGCGGCGCCGCCAGGTGTGTGCGAGGCGGGTCGGGCCTCACAGTGAATCTCGCACCGACGCCCTCGTCTGGCCTCACAGTGAATCTCGCACAAGGGAGCGGATCCTGGCGTATACATTCCCCTTTGTTTCCCCCGGAAAACGGGGAAATGAGCATACACCACGCCACCCCGACGTCGTCTCCGACCATCCAAAAAAGCCCTGGGATTGAAAAATCGCCCGCCACTGGTAATGTGTATGTTCCAGTTCCCGACTTCATCAAAGCATCGTCGTCGTCCTTCTCTTCCTCCTCGTCCATTTGCTTGTTCGCCGCACGTTGCTACTAGGAGCGTCGCGTCCTCGAATGACAGTCATGCCAAAAAAGAAGGCACACATGTACAAAAGCGCGTCGGACATGTCGATCAGAGCTCAACAGCTGCACGTATGGGAGTGAAGACAAAAAAACGATAGTGGAAAAAAACACAACCCACCGTAGGGCATGGACTATGCCCCATCCCACCCCAACCAAACCACCGTCCGACCCATGATCCCGCCCCACAGTTCCCAGCAAAGGCCCTCGCCGAGGGAATGCAAGGCGCCCTCGCCGACGGCAGTGTGCGCAGCAGTCCCGATGCAGCTGGAGCGAGAAACGCAATGCTCAACTGAATGCAGAACTCCGGGCAGCAACACTCACGCGCAGCAGCCGCCGTATGCAGTCGGCCGCCGTGAGATACCCTCAACAGCCATACTTGAGAACAAACAGGTGTGCACGCATGTGAGAGATATCCTCCTCCTCCGCCTCCTCCTCTGCCTCCTCCTTCTCCTCCTCCTCCTCCTCCTCCTCCAATCAAAACAACCCCCCCTCCGCCCGAAACGAATCTACTCGCCCTCGCCGAGGGCCGTCCTCACCGAGGGCGCAAAGCTCGTATGCTGGTAAGACGGATGATATGCGAATTGGAAAGAGTGAGACGTGAACTGCTTATGGGATCTGCTACTTTTGGGACTCGCTGTACCAGCTCGCTCAAAGTTTCGCAGAACTTCAACTTACAGCGACCGCATGTGCATTTCGCCTTTTCCTTTGCCACCCCAACGCACTCCTCCACACCTCCACCATAGGCGCGCACCCCCCCCCTTGCCCCCCCCCCCTGAGCACCTGTGGGTTGGCTGTGCGTCTATACGCTTACGCAATTCCTTTTATAGATAACGCTCAACTTCAGCCGTCGGCGACCCCCGTACACGTGAAGCCGAGGTGAATGCACGGGGACGTGAACGCACAGCATGATATCTGCTGGAAATTTGCTTAGAACGGGCCTCGACGTGCCACATGCGCGCCAATGATACTAGGCAAACTCCTCCACCACCGCCACCCCACCACCTCTCCAAACCTCCCCCCCCCCAATCTGGCGGTGACCATCGTCTGCGGAACTCCAGACAGCAACACTCGCGTGCAGCCACCGCCGTATGCAGTATGCAGACGAAAACCTACATGCGCGCACGCGTGTGAGGGATAGACAAGATGAGGCCACCGTATATTTGAAGCAGCGGGGACGCTAGCGAAGAACACGACCTCTCCTGGAAAATTGCCTAGAATGGGCCTCGTCGCGCCAAATGCGCGCCAATGATGCAAGGCCAAGCTCCTCCACCACCGCTACTCCACCACCTCTCCATACCTCCTCCTCATCTCGCGGTGACCGCCGTCTGCAGAACTCTGGGCAACAACACTCACGTGCAACCACCACCGTATGCAGTCGACCGCCGTGAGAGACACTGATCAGCCATATTTGAGAACATTCAGGTGTGCACGCACGTGAACGATAGCTAAGATGGGGACGACGCTCAAGTGAGGAAAGTAATGGTGCAGGGGTAATAGGATGAGGCGTGGAACAACAATGAAGCGAGATAACGTGCACAAAGAAACTGACCAGTGATCAGCGATGCTTATGTTGATTCCAACCATGTGAATGTCTTCTGCGTTAAGACTGTCATGTCGCGTAACCATGAGCTGCCCCGCAATCAAGCAGGGCCTCATGAGTTGCGCCATGCGGCCGCCGCGCTTGTTCAATGACGCAAGAACGTGCTCTGACAGAGGGCCAATATCGATGTTGATTGAACCAGAATATTGCAGAGGAGGTGAGCACCCGGTAATGAAACTATGATGTTCGTCAACATGTTTTGAAGATTCGTCCATGTTCAAGTTTTCATGGGGACCTTTAGTAGCAGACACCTGAGCAGTTGGACCAATGTCTTGCGGGGAAAGCGAACTGGCGGCAGAACCACTAGGATGATTGCCAGTTTCTGCAAGTCCTCTCGATATATCCGTGGAGACGTGGCCAACGCACGTGGGTCCAGAAACCACTTGTTGGGGGAACTTCAGCTGTCCTCGAACACCATACGAGTACGGGCATTGATGGGACAAAGGTAGCCAACCCAACATTGCATAGAACTTGGACTGCCAGCCGGATCCATCACACCAAAGCTGCCGTTGACGTCATCTGTGACGGCGGGTGGTTAGATCGATGGAATGCACTCAACATGTGTCGGCACGTCCAACTCTGCGTTAGCCGATGGATCAGATTGAGCAAGCTCGTCTCCAACACGTGTTTTTCCGTCGGCGCTTCTGTCATGTATGATGCTGTCGCCTGCGAAAACTATGTCAACAACGTTTGCTGCAGATGTAGGTAAAGAAGTTACTGTATCAACATGTACTTCATCCACTGTGCTGGGGCGGGAGCGGCGAATCAGCCAGACGTAGGACCATAGGAGCAGGAAAGCTTGGCGGGGGGACAACTGAAGGCGCTGTCAGACCAACCTATGCTATCTACTTTGTAGTGCCGAAGAATTAGAAGATGGACGTACCAATGTTCCACTCCCACCTGGCAACTTGCTGCTGACGCGGCTGTTGAAGAACTTGCTTGGCAATGGGACCGGCACACCCGCTAAAGCAATGTGAATGCGGCGCGCGCGCGCTTCGAAACCCTATATGCGGAAAGCCTGTCTTATCTCATGCGAGCTGCGAGGGGAGAAGAAGAAGCATGAGCCATTGCTGGCCTCGGCCGCGCGAACGATCGGATCGGTCTCGGTGAGGCGCGGGCCGCACGCTGTGCGGCAGCCACGCCTGGCAGCAGGCCCGCAAGTGGAGAGCTGTTCTTCCACTGCGTTGCTCGGGCCCGCGGGTCTTGAGGCAAAATGGCTACGGGCTCCTTCTCGTCCTCCTCCTCCTCCTCGTCGTCGTCGTCGTCGACGTCGTTCCCCAAACCTGTCGGCAGGGGTTCGGAGAGGATCCGAAGAGGACCGAAGAAGCGGGAGGGGCGGAGGATCGGCGAGGGTCGCTCGAAGGACCCAGGGGTATCGAGAACCGAAGAGGCGGGGGGTCGAGCATCGAGGACCGAGGATCGAGCATACAGTCGAGCTTGATTGGACAGGACACGCGAGAGGACACAAGACCCTTCCAAGGGCCACATCGCCATAGGAGTGTAAGAAGGCACGTGTCGCGAGGCACAGGACACAAAGGTACCCTTGAGCTGGCAGGGTCGACCTACTAATCCGGGCCGCCTGTATCCTCGAGGATCGAGGGCTCGAGCATCGAGGATATCGAGGATCGAGGAGGGGGGCTGGGGGGGCGGAGCGGCGGCGAGGTCGGGCCCGCGCACGTGCTCATCAGCCCCATCATCTTCGCCGTGGCGGCCGCGTCGCCTCGGGCGGAGTGCAAGCGGGAGCGGGGACCTGCATGCCCTCCTCCTCCTCCTCCTCCTCCTCCTCCTCCTTCTCCTTCTCCTCCGCCTCCGCCTCCGCCTCCGTCTCCGCCCCCGCATTTGCCTCCTACTTCCCCTTCCCCCTCCCCCTCCCCCTCCCCCTGCTTTTCCTCCTCCTCCTCCTCCTCCTCCTCTTGCTCCTCCAGCTCCTCCTCCTCCACTCCTTGCTCCTCCTTCTCCTCATCCTCCTCCTCCTCCTTTGCCTCATCCTCGTCCTCCTCCTCCTCCTCCTCGCATCCACCTTCCTTGTAAATAATTCATCCGTGTCGCACCCCAAGACTGGTCGAAAGGGCGAACCTGGCGTTTCGCCAGAGACTCCCTCACCATGTATGATCCTGGAAATTTGGAATTTTCAATAGTTCACGGATGAGGGCGGGTCGGTTTCCAAATGTGGCTCTCGCCTCAGCGCCTCGCACATGAAAATTCGCAAGAGCTTCACGGATTGAGGGCGGGCCGTTTCCAAAGTGTGACGCTCGCCTGAGCGCCGCACACATTCGCCTTGAAAATGTGCAAGGGCTTCACGGATATAGGGTGGACAGTCTTCAGAATGTGCCTCTCGCCCTAGCGCCGCGCACAGTCGTCTGAAAAAGTGTGCACGAGCTTCGCGGATGGAGAGCGGGTCCTTTTCAAATGTGGCTATCGCCTTTGCGCCGCGCACATTGGACTGAAGTTCGCAAGGGCTTCACGGATGGAGGGCGGGCCGTGTCCAAAAGTGTGGCGCTCGCCCGAGCGACGCACACAATCGACTTGAGCATGTGCAGGAGGTTCACGGGTGTGGGGCGGGCTGCTTTCAAAATGTGGCTCTCGCCTTAGCGCCGCGCACCTTCCTCGTAAAAGTGTGCAAGGGCCTGGCAGGTGTAGGGCGGGTCGTTTTCCGAATGTGGCTCTCGCCTTAGCGCCGCGCTTTTTCGTCTTAAACGTTTACACGAGCTTCATGGATGGAGGGCGGGTCCTTTAACAGTCACGTTGATTCGAGGTCTTGAAGTCCCAGGAACGGTGTCCTGGCAGGATTCAGTATCGTCAAGGTGCAACAATAACGGTGATTCGCGGCGTTGAAGTCCCAGGAATCGTGTTCTGACACGGTTCCAGATTTTCAAACAATTGTCTTCCAAAGGGGCACTCCCCACAGTGGAAACGAATCCTTGCAGGGGCCTACGAAGAGAAAACTTGGAGGGAGGGCGTATTGCAAGAAAGTTGATGGTTCTTGCGCTTATTCTGGTCCTCCTCCTCCTCCTCCTCATCCTCCTCCTCCTTCCCTCCTCCTTCCCTCCTCCTTCCCACCTCCTCCTTTGCCCCTCCTCCTTCCCTCGTACTCCCATCCTGCCTCCTCTCCCCCCCTCGTCCTCCTCTGCCCTCACCCTACCTGCTCTATCCCTCTCCTCCTGCGCCCCCTCCCTTGCTCCCCCTTGCCCCTGACCCAGCCAGAGCTAAGACGAAGCCAGGACAGGGACAAAATCGGACAAGAACATATCGGGGATCTCTCAGATCCGGCGGCTCTAGATGGAGAGAGAGAAACGGGGACCACGACCAAGACTGAACGCGGAAAGGTCCTGTAAATCTTGGTCACCGTCCATCTTGGCAATGTACGGATCATTCTCGCGAATCTACGACGGGCAGCATGGATCATGGCCAAGATCGGTATCGACGAGATCCTGCGACACCTTCGTCATTCAAGAAGAACTATATGAAAATCGACGTTCGGAGGTCCGCGCGGATTTCTTGTATTCACACTAGGGCCCCCTCCCTAACGTGCGGAGCGCGCCAGGGGCGGCGCCGGAGGCGCCGCCAGGAGGGCCCAGCACGAATCCAAGAAATCCGCGAGGATCTCCGAAAGGTTGCCTTGATATCACTGCTGTGTTTCATTCTTCGAGTCGTGGTCCCCGCGCTTCTTCCCTCGAGCGGAGGGTGCGTCGGCGACAGCCGCGATCCCTCCGCGGAGGAGCGCCCGGGAGCGCGTCTTGCGGAGCGCTCCGAAGCGCCCCGCGGAACGATGTTTACCCCCGCCCCAGTCCCGCCCAGAGAGCGGAGGAGGCGGCGAGCAGAGAGCCGAGCAGGCGGCTTGACCGTGATCGTTGTGATCGTTGTTACCGTTGTTATCGCTGTTATCGCTGCGATTGCTGTGATCGTTGTTATCTCTGTTATCGCTGTTATCGCTGTGATCGCTGCTATCGTTGTTATCGTTGTTATCGCTTTTTTCGCTGTTCTCGTTGTTATCGCTGTTATAGCTGATATCGGTGTTAACGCTGCTATCGGTGCTGTCGATACTAACGTTGTTATCGCTGGTGACGCTGTTTTCGCTGTTATCGCTGTTATCGCTGGTATCGTTGTTATCGCCGTTATCGCTGTTATCGTTGCTTCCGTTGGGAAGGGCAGGACCAATCCTCATCCTCGAGCCTCGAAGCTCCAGCCTCGAGCCTCGATGCCTGCATGCCCTTCTCCTCCTCCGCCTCCACCTTCTTCCCCTCCGCTTCCGCCTCCTCATACTACTCCGCCGCCGCCTCCTCCCCCTCCTCCTCCTCCTCCTCCTCCTCCTCCTCCTCATCATCATCATCCTCCTCCTCCTGTTTTCTCTCCTCCTCCTCCTCCTCCTCCTCCTCCTCCTGCTCCTCCTCCTGTCTTCTCTCCTCCTCCTCCTCCTCCTCCTCCTGTCTTCTCTCCTCCTCCTCGCTGCGCGCAAGTGTGAGCCTGGGCAAGAGTGACCCTCGGCGCGCCGGCTTTGGGGGGGCGCGAGGCGCACCAAACCCTGGCGCCCAGGCCGCTGCTTTCGCGTCGCACCCGACCATCGGGGGGGCCAAGCGGGCCCACAGAAGTGAAGGGACCCTGGGACACACAAATAAGTACACACACACACAAATAACAGGATTCCCCATATTTTCCATATTTTCAGGGGTGTTTGTCTTCCCCCCACTTCCCATAGTTTCCCATATTTTTCTGGGGATGGACGATTGATTGTCTAAGCGTGTTTTTCCCTCCTGAAGAAGGCACGACCACGCCAGGCAGAGCTCGGGCCGCACCGGACCGCCGGAAAATTGGGCCCGAATCTCGGCAGCAAGCCCGTGGGGGAAGAGAGATTGGGCGGGCCTTCTCAAAAGCCTCGAAAACCCCTGGCCTTCTAAGAAGTCTTCTAAACCTGCCCCGAGAACACGGAAAGCTGCTCAGGAGGCGCGAGGGCTTCTGAAAAGTGCCGCCACCTTCCGAGAAGGCCTTCTTCTCCTTCTCGCGGCCCCCCCCCCTCGCTCGCCGCCGAGAACTTTCTCGGGCCGGCTGGAGTCGACGATCGGATCTAACAATGGACCCCAGACGGAGAGGGCGGCGGAAAACGGGAGATGCAGGGATGGCGGCGCCCCCAAGGGGGTAGGTAGAGTTAGGTCGGGCATGTCCCCCTGCAGGCAGATGTTCAAAAATAGTCACACGAGAAAATAGCCAAAAATAGTGCAGGCATCGTCCCCAGGCTAATTTTTTGCTACGTTTGAATGCTCCTCCTGTGGAGGGACACGCCCGACGGGAGGGTATAGAGCGAGGGGGGCGGCCTTGTGGGGAGGCGCCCCGGCGTCTGGGACAGCGGCCTCCCAGACGGGGTCCGCGCAGAGGGGGTCGGAAGAACATGCCGCATCGCCGATGCATCGCCGAAGAAAGATGGAAGGCAGGAGTAAAGATGAAAAAGAAAGGCAGTGCATTTCCCATATGTACACTGTCGTGAAGCTGCCGTGCACATCGGTCCAGCATGCGCGGCGACGCATCGGCGATGCACCGCCGCCGTCGGCGTGGCGAACATCGGGCTCCACATTCGAGCCGCATCGCCGATGCATCGACGATGCTGCGCGACCCTCCGACCCCATCTATTCGGACCCCATCTGGGAGGCCTAGTTTTGGGTCGGGCATGTCCTCCTACAGGCGGAATTTGGAGGAAAAATGAAACATCGTCAACAAAAACTCAACAAAAATATCAAACATAGTCATCAAATGGTCCCCATGATATTTGTTTGACTATATTTTAGTACTCCCCCCCTGTAGAGGGACAGGCCCGACTGAAGCCTAGTCAGGAAGCCTCCTGAGGGGCGTCCAAGAGGGGAGGGGGGGGGGAGGAAATCGTGGCCGGAGGCATGCGCGCGGCCCAGGGGGGGGGGCCAGGGACGCATTGAAATGAGAAGAGGCGCCATGGAATCTGGGGAGATATCATGGCCCCCGCCACGATATCCACCTTCCTTAGTCATCGCCCCCCTCTTGGCCGCCGCCCCTCCTTGGAGGCCGCCGAACCCTTCTGGGAAGGCCGCCTGCCTTCTCGGGAGGCCTCCCCCGCCCTCTCGGGAGAGCCCACGCTGGCTCGCGCCACGCCCTCCTCGTGGGCGACGCCAGGGAGGAGGGTGGAGCACGGAGCACGGACTGGCCAGGGCTAGACCCAAACATCCTCCTCCTCCTCCTCCTCCTCCTCCTCCTCAACCTTCTCCTCCTCCTCCTCCTCCTCCTCAACCTCCTCCTCCTCCTCCTCCTCCTCCTCCTCCTCCTCCTCCTCCATGCTGTTCGACTTCGTTTCGTTTTCGTTATCCCTCGCCTCGTCTCACATTCGCCCTTGCTGCAAAACGACATCGAAACGAGAACGGCCCACGAGATCGCCAAAACACCGTTCAGGCAGGTCACGAGGCAGGTCATGAGGCAGGTCTGGGACGAAAAGGGCGGAGGAGGGAGGGAGGGAGGGCGGGCGGGCGGGCGGGAGGGACAGTCGGGGGCGCGCAAACATGGATTTAGCGATCCATGGATTTGACGCGCGGTCGCCAAATCCATGGATCGGGGGAGGTGCCCTCCCCAAGATGCGGCCGGTGCCGCCTCGTTCGGCGGCGGAAATCCGCGATTTCCCATGGAACGGGACCCGTCGCTAATCCAAGCCCCCTTGATCCATGTTTGCGATCGCCTGAGGAAGGGAGGGAGGGCGGGCGGGCGGGAGGGACAGGAGTCGAACATTTCCAGCCGGGCCCTCCTCCGCATTCCTCGCTCCCCACATCCTCCTCTGATTGTCGTCCCCCCTTCCCGGGAGGCTGGGGGGTAAGGGGGGAAGGGGGAGGAGGGAGGCGAGGTCGGAGGGGAGGACGAGGGATGAGCGCGTGGTGTTCTGAACCCTTCCGTCGCGTTGGGAATCCCACCAGCCCTCTGGGCGTCGGTGGTTTAGAGCGTTTCCTCTTCCACCCCTCCTTTTTCCCCTTCGGGGAGGGGTTTATCCCTCCCCCTACCCCCTCCCCACTGACCTGGACAGGGGGGGCGGGGAGCGGTCAGAGCGTCCAAAACGGCCTCGCCGAGGAAGCCAACATCATTTGTTTTACCAAGGTTTTGGCCCCATTTTGGCCCCCAGAAGGGGCAGCACTAATTGAAGCTCCCCTCTTCTTTGATCGATTTCCTCCAAGATGGCCCCAAGAAGCGCCCCGGAGGCAGTCAGAGGCCCCAAGATGGCCCCAAGATGGCCCCAAGAGGCGCCCAGGAGGCCCCCAAGAGGATCCCAAACGGCCCAAAGAGGCCCCCCCGAGGCACCCAAGACGCCGAAAAGCCCTTCAGGACGACCCTCTACTCGCCTGGGCGTCGTTTCTGGACGGGCTGGTGGGGATACTTTATATATGTGTATATATATATATATATATATACAGCCGCAGGCGGAAGCGCCGGCGGCGAGGGGTCACGGTCGGCCTGCGGCCGTGACGAATTACCCGGGCGCGCGCGGGGGCCGCGGATCAGGCGGCGGTGCAAGCAGCAACCCAGGGCGTCTGAGAGGCCAGGCGGTCGTGCAAGCTGCAACCCAGGGAGTCTGAAGGGTCAGTCACCCAGGAAGCAAAGCGGACGCGGCCAAAATGGCGCGCCGTACATTCCCAGTCATGGGTCGTGACAACCGACAATCGCATGGTGGTGGGAACCAGACTCCGTGCAAGAAATGTCAGCCCAGGGTGTCTGTCGGGTATGAGCAGACCGATAGCGTAGCTGACGTCGTCCAGCAAGGAGGGGAATTCTGACAGCGCCAGCGAACCGTCGCAGCTTCAGAAAGCGCATCCGGCGGCTGACAGAGTGAGCCAGAGGTCATAGAAACCTGGGGCAACCTCGGAACAACTGCTGAGAGATGCGCCTGCACGCAGGAGACCAGAGATATGGTGTGCCGCAGTGCAGAAGTACACAAGTACCCACCTGGCGAGGGACACACGGTCAATCGGAAGTGGGCGTGTACCAACCGACTAAGTGACAACCAGCGCCTCGCAACCCGCGCAACGCCAGGTCGAGGAGAGCGCTCGTAGAGGACGACGCTGCCGTATACCCACGTCAGCAAGCCCTTCACAGTCACAGAGTCCCAGGGAGTGGTCGCACAACCAGGTTGCGCGTGGGAGCGACGATAGGGAGACCCAGTGCCCGTCACACGCCAAGGCCGTGCATCACTGTCCACAGGGTGGCACAGCACGGCCAACCGCGGTAAGCAGCAATGAACGGGAGCACGTCAGCGACCCAGTCAGAAGACGGTGCAAGCGGACCAGGTGGGCATTCCGCCACAACGGCGGGGCGACCCACGTCAAAGGACTGCCTGAACACCACGTGACCCAAGGACGATGGGTCCGAGCCCAGGGTCGCTCCCAGGAACGTTTTTTTTTCAGCAAAGCGAATCGTCTAGAATTTGCAGGTTCGTTTCACCAGACCATTTGCTGGGGTGCAAAGATGGCTGCGTCTCGAGGTAGCGAGATCCGAACCCTACCCCCACCAACCATCGGTTCTCCTAATCGATGGGAGGCGGGGGTGGGCTCGGGCTTCGCCACGGGCTCGACTAATTCCGAACCCCACCCCCGCCGCTCATCGAGCTGCCCGAATCGTTGCTTCGCGAGGGTAGGGTTCGGATTTCGCCGCCGAGCCAAGCGCTTCCCAGCCTGCGCCGCTGCGCTTCCAGCTCATCCTGGGGCGGCCGCGTGGGCGCCGAGATCATCGCGCGTCGCGCTGCCTGCCGCGCGAGGCGCGACGTGGGGCCATTGACAGTGGAAACCGAGAGTAAGGACGGGCGGTAAGGACGCAAGGGCCTTGGACGCCGAATTGGGCACTGTTTGGGCGGTGGGCTGCCAACGCCCTGAGGAGTTGGCCAGTGAAAACCGTGAAGGACGGGCCGTAAAGGCAGGGACGCCACGGTACCCTAAGGACACCCGCGCGTCCTTACGATGGGTTTTGACTGTAGATTCCCTGGCGCCGCGATCTGGCTTCGAGTGTGGCGATGTGGGTCGGCAAGTGTTCTCTGCCTTGCTCGAGGACCGCGCTCAAAAGGCCCACGGGCGTTCAGTCGAGGGGAATTTGACACAAAGCGACTGGGGCTGCCGGCGATGATGTTGTTGGCACGTGTGCGAGTTCCCCTTCGTCATCGTGTTCACCGTCATCTGCTCAATATGCTCCTTTTCGGCTGCGGCAATGCTGCTTCGATCTCTCCCAGTGCACTGCCATACGTCCGTCTTCATATCCGTTTTAGCGGACAGCTTTGCGCAGCATACGTACATCCAGGCGCTTAGCATTCACTGGCAAGAAGTGGCAACATCACCGAGTCGGCGGCGAGGGATCAGCGTGTGGTCAAAATGCCATGAGAGTAGAACGAATGACCGCTGGGCGTTGTGAGGGCAGCCGTAGCCCTGGCGTTGACAAACGAGAGGATGGAATGGAGGGGAGAGAGGAAAGGGAGGGAGGCAGGGGAGGAGCACGGGATGGGAGGGAGGCAGGAGGGAGAGGGAGAGGGAAGAGCGAGGGAGGGCGGATGGGAGGGCGGAAGGGGCGAGAGGGAAGGAGGAAGAAGACGGCGGGGCGAGAGGGTGCCGGGAGGGAGGGGCGGGAAGAGAGCAAAGGGAGGCGAAGGAAGAGGAGGAGGAGGAGGAGGAGAGCGAGCGAGTGAGCGGGCGAGAAGGAGGAGGGGGAGGAGGAGGAGGAGAAGGAGGAGGAGGAGAAGGAGGAGGAGCAGCAGGAGAAGGAGGAGGAGGGAGGCGGAGGGGGAGGAAGCAAGCTAGTGCGCTCGCGTTATATGTGACGTTCTACCCCTCCCTCCCATCCCTTACCATGGCGTAGACCTCCTCTATATTCGCACAGTCGGATGTCTTAGCAGGGTATAGCATTACATGGCATAGCATGGTGTTGAAGATCAACACGTAGCCTGACATAGCATGGCGTGGCGACGCCCCAAAGTGAGGGGGGCTTCTGCGGCCCAAAAAATCCGCCGATCCGGCGTGTGAGTTTCAAGGGGTCTCAGCTACAGCCTCGAGGCTGAGCCTCAGCCTCTGGGGGGGTTGCCGGGGTGGCTCTGCCGGGGAAGGGGGGATGGGGGGGGGGGTGCGAGTTTCCGGCGGATGCGGGGTGACGGCCCAAGAGCCCCCCCAAGCGTCCCCAAGAAGACCCCAAAGAGGGACGAAAAGCGGAAAAAGCGGAGGCCCCAAGAGCTCCCAAGAGGGCCCCAAAAAGCTTCCAAGAAGCGCCCCAGGACGCCCTGACAGGCCCCTAAGATGCCCCAAAAAACGCCCCCAGACGCCTAAGAGCTCCCAAAAGGGCCCCCAAAAGTCTCCGAGAAGCCCCCCAGGACGCCCTGACAGGCCCCCATGTCTGCGGCGCGGGTTGGGTGGTGTGACTGCGTGTGTGCGTTTGAATGTGCGCCCATAATGTCTGCGTCTGGAGAATAACCCCGAGCGACCCGGATCGGCGGCACTGGCCGAAGGCCACTACAATCAACGAATCGGCACCGAATGTGTAATCACTTCCGATGGTTGTTTCGGAAAACATTTTCTAGATTTGGGGGCCTATTTGGACGGACCGACAACCATGCCGTGGCATGGCGCTGGAAATGATGACGCCAGCGGTGCAGCGGGAGCACGATTCGGAACGAGCGGAAGCGCGGAAATGAGGACAGCGCTGCAGCGGGAGCACGATTAGGAACGGGCGGTAGCCCGAAAATGAAGGCAGCGTGTCAGCGAGAGGTTGTTGATCTGCAAGAAACGCGCGAAAACCCAACTCCTGGGAATCCTTCCTGCAAAAAAGCAATACGCGGAGGGGGGGCGAACATTTCCCAGACGTCACCAGGGGAGAGAGGAAAGTAGTATTCATGTTGTGTAATGGTGGGAGGAGGAGAAGGGCGACAACAACCAGGGGAGAGGAGGCGGGGAGGGGGCGAAAGGGGGGGATCAGGAGAGGGCGAATGAGAGGAGCGCGAGGGGGCGGAAGAAGGCAGGGGGGAGGCCGAAGGAGTGGAGAGGGAGAGCCCGGGCAGCGCCATCGGAGGAGGGGAGGGGCGAGGGAGAGAAGGGAGGGGAAAGGGGGGGGGCAGCAGTCGAGTAGGGGATCGACTGAAGAATTGGCGACCCCAGAATAACATTTTCCCATCGAATGCTGGAAAAATAGGTAGACTGCACCCCCCAAACTCCGACGAAGTCGACCCCTGGGGGGCAGGAACAGACTCCCCCCGCTCGCCGCTCCCGGCCCCGCCCGCCTCAGCCCAGCCCTGGACGCGCATCCGGGGGCCCCCCCCCGCGGGCGTTTCCGGCCCGCCCCGTCGCCCTTTTTGATCGCCAGGACCATCGGCGCGCGGGTCGGGACGACCATGGTCACGGCCTCCCCGCACAGCGAGGAGGGAGGGAGGGAGGGAGGGAGGGAGGGAGGAGGGAGGGAGGGAGGGAGGGACGGAGGGATCGATCGATCGAGCTGTCGGGCCGATGTCTGGGTGACTGACGCTCTGGCTAGCTCTGAGTAGCTGCGTAATCTAAGCACGGCCTAGCTGTGTTCTCTGAGTAAACTGGTAGACCAGACGTCAGTGGACGCTCGGGCCCGACCTGCACCGACCTCCCCCACGCAGGGGTCTGCGGGCAGGGTAGCACCCGCATTCACGGAGGTCGTTCGCTCTGCTGCTGCTGTTGGCTTCGCTGGCTCCGCTTACCCTTACCTCGTCCCTTGCGCTTCGGTTCGGGAGGGGGGGGAGGTCGGTGCATTAGTAAATACTGAGGAAAACGTGGGCCATCGAATTGGAAGATTTCGGGCACAGCATTCTGAGAAGGAGGAGGTGGGAGACGTCCAGACCTGACTATCTCGCGGAACCTGGCGCTATTCTCAAAAACTCGTGGGATGGCCTGGGGAAGCTGCGGGGGAAGGACTGGGCGAATTCGAACACTGTTTTCCTCCTCCTCATCTCTCAGGTGTAGATCTCGAGCGGTCGTATCCTCTAGGTTCGTCTCCTCTATCGTGCCGAAGTCGACTATCCGTTCACTAGGCGGCCGAGCTCCCTCTCCAAGGCGCCCCTCGGTGCCGACCCGATCTTGCGAGCGGCGCCCTCTTTCTTGAGCTGGTTGACCAGCACCGTGCGCAGCTGGTGGTTGCTCTCTCCGAACTTGAACTGGAATCGGCACTTCTCGACCCCGCCGCCCTCTTTGCCCTTGTTGCGCCTGACCCTGAACACTGGTACTATGTCCGCGAGGGCTTCCGTGTCGTTTTTCATAATGATGTTCTCGTAGTGGCTCTTCACCTCGTTGAGCTGTCCGCCCTCCTCGAGCTGCTTGCCCAGGTAGGCGCACGTCTCCGCCCACGCCTTCACGTGCGGGCTGCCCAGGCTGCCCAGGTCGACTTGTTATCCGCCTCGCTGCCTCTGGTGGAGCTGCTGCGCCTCGTCGTTGTAGTGCTTGCCCGCTCCGAGGGCCGCGGTAGCGATGCCCGTCGACATGGCGATTTCCCAAGGTTGGATGAGTGCCGCCGCCATTTCTGCTTGCTCTCGTGCCACCGTGAGCGTGAGCCTCGCCGTGAGCTCCGTGATCTGTTGCTGGTTGCCTCCGCCGCCGACCGCTGGTCCGCGTAGCACTGGACCTCGTTGGCGGCTGCGATCCTCTCGTCGGACTGCGCCCCCTCCTGCTGGGCCTGGCGGAGCCTGGCCCAATGGCCTCTGGTCGAACAGCGACATGGCGTATCCCTCTTGGCGGCTGTAGGAGTTGTCGCGGGATATGCGTACGTAAGTGTATGAATTGCGCACCCTTGTCGAGAGAGAAATGACTACAGAGAGGGCATTGCGGAGAATGTGCCGTCGGAACATATTGATTATTTGTTCTGTCTCTGTTGCATCCTCCTTTGATCATACTGCTTGCCAGATGTTTCCATGCCGTACCTTTGCGTGTAAATACTTGCTGGTAATGCAGGCACTCGTTGTTTGATGTCATCACCGCTGCTAAGTTGTGTACATTATGTGCTCGAATAATATGGCTATGTAGTGCCTTCTTGCTTGCGAATAATAGACCACATTCTGCTTCTCCGTGTTTAAGTTCACATTTCCATGGCTTCTGTTATTCTAAAGCTAGCTCTTCTCTTTGGACATCTTGCTGTGTGTAGCCTGGTGGGGGGACCGCCACTCCGAGTTTTGCTGCCCGAACTTCCCGAACATCAAGTCGATATAGTTGTTCCCTAACGTCTAGAGTGAAGAGCCTATCTATCGTGACGTTCTCGCCCTCGCCTAGCGTGTTGTAGTAGCTCTCCGAGACCCCACGCGCGTATCTGACGTCCTCCAAGAACCTCTGAGCCCAGGGATTCGTGTCGGTCCTGAGTTTGTCCTCGTCTTCGTTTGTCTCGAACTCGACCCTCCCGAAGAGTGCTGCGATCAACTGCCTGTGATTGCTAGGGAAGCGAAGGATGTTTTTGAACCATCCGAGTCGGCGCACCAGTGCTTCCTCCGCTGGCGGCAATATTTGCCAATATCGAAATACTTCCAGCGTGCTAAGGCTCCGCGCGCTGCCGTCTCTGTGACGCGCGGCGCCTCCTCGCATGGCTCGCCGAAGTAATGCGCCCATAGCGCTCTGTAGCTGCTGGTACTCTCTGGGCGCCGGCAAGAAGCATTCGATGCACGAGAGGCCTGTGTTGATCACCCTGCAGATGAGGACCGCTCGCTTCCACCTGTATGGTATATGCCCTAGTCCAGAAGCTGCCACATTCGTTGTAACTCTTTTTCATGGCCGCGATGCGCTTGTTGAGTTCTGCCCCATAGTTCTGTGTCGGGCTGATCTGTGGTCCAAGATATCGTGCATGTGGAACAACTTTGCCAGGTAGCTTGCAATCGGGCTTCGTCTTGAGCTGCTGGTGTGCGTTGGTCGTCCCTTGTCCTTGGAAGTAGACGGTGTTATCCTGCTTGTCTGCGTTCTGGCGCATCCCGATCGCGTCGGGCCTCTGGTTGGGCGCGTTGTCCACATTGTGTGCCTGCGCTGCCAGATGTGCTGCATCTGCGTGCTTGTCGCCTAGGATGATCTTGCGAAGGTCGTCCGCATACTTAGCCAGGCCCAAGTAAACTGGATGTTGAAATATCTCGCAGCTCCCAAACAACAGACCATCGTTCTTTAACTCTTTGCTGCAGTCCTCAATCCAGTTCTTGATGCGCGTCGAGAAGCTGGCCGCGAAGTTACTGACCATGTACGGGTCTCTCCTATCAGTCCTCCACAGTGTGGCTCGGTGCAAACTCCGTCCTCCTGATCGCGACATGGCATGACAAACGTAGCTCGTCGGTATCGCTGCGCTCCCAACTCAGTAGAGTCTTCTGGCATGATCTTGTTGTTGGCCTCGTCCATGGCTGTCCACGCGCAGCTGGCGAAGGCGTTCGACATGTCCTTCATCGTCGTGATGTAATTGAAGCCTGCCTGCCTTGCCCGATACTCGACGACCGCCATCGCCAATATGGCTCCTTCGCGTCGTCGTCCTCTAATGAAGCCGCAGCCCTGGTCAGTGTGAGTCTGAGCCTTCTGTCGAGCCATGCAGGATGAGTAAAATGCCTTGCCGATCGGGTCCATGATGTGGTACATCTTTTTTCCTGCAGGGCCCGCTTTGTTGTTCTTCTTGACTGCTGTTGCCGCGCTCTGATGCCATCGTACTGGAGTTGCGTTCTTGAGCCTGATGGCCGCCAGTGCCGCCCTGAAGAGGTCTTGAAATCCTTCTGGCTGAGGAAGTGGTTGGAGTGCCCCCAATCCTTGTCTTTGCCGTTGAGGTTGTTCGTCTGTCTGACAAAGGGGCGCTCCCCATAGCTCGTTGGGGGCCGCTGTCGGTGGTGCCGCACGTCGGAGTTTCGCCTTTTTTAACCGTTTAGCAATGCCCTCCATATCTTTCTCCACAAGTTCTTCTATGTCGTTATCATAATAGTCCATTTCATCTGCGTCAATGGGAATATGTTCAATTTCTTCTCTATTCAGTTCTGTGCCTTCCATGCCTCCTGATCCACCTGGGAGCTGCCAGAAATCGGTCCACTCTTGCTTCGTGGGGTTGGCTGTGACCATCGTCCAGTAGTCGCGCTTGCGTGGTCCATATCTTCCGCCAGCAATCAATCTTGACAGTCGGCCCGCGCGTGCAAGATCTCGGCGTTCCCATGCCTCGTACAGCTCCTCCACCCTGGCGTCCGTCTTCCGCTGGTACTCGAGTTTGCGCCAGGCTGCGCAGGTAGTTCGGTCTCGACGTAGTCCAGTCGTAGGCGGCGGGAATCGAGTTCGTCTTCTGCTCCTGGCTGGTCTGAGTTCTGCGCGTAGGGGTTGTTGGTCGGATTTTCCCTTGGAATGTAGTCTACCTCGGCTGTGTCCAGCTTGGTCGAGTCTGCGATCGTGATGAGTAGGCTATCTCCTTCGCGTCGTAGTTGCTCCCGAAGGTCTCTTCGTCTTTTTAATAGTTCCATTCGTCTGTCCCGTAGTATCTGGTACTCCTCAGGTTTCTGCTGTCCCTGTCCATAATACTGTTGAGCCGTTTCGATGATCATCTGATTCAAGTCCTGGAACAGCTGGTCTATGCCTTTGCCGTGCTCGTTGTAGTTCGCGACTTTTCCTTCCAGATCCTGGATGAATAACTCTGCGTGTAGTCCCTTGCGTGCTGCCGCTGCCAGTTTGTCTTTATCCCATCGTGCTGTATGTTGTCGGGCTTGTACTCTTTGCCGAAGTGGAATACGAACTGTGAGCTGCACTGGGACGTGATCTCGATGTCGTCGGCTACGAATGTGTTGCAGCCGTGTGCCCATGCGGAGGAGTGGCCCTTGAGAGATGATGCTGTTGGCCAGCGTCGTCGGCATCATGATGTAGTCTATACAGCTGGCCGTCGTTTCCCCGAAAAAAGTGGGTCTCCATGTGCCCGTCGTGTTGGTGACTGTCAGTCCGTGTCGCTCCGCGTGCTGTCTGGCTTTGTGCCCCGCTCCGCCTGGTAGTTTCTCCTTCGCCCTGCCCGCTCCAAGCGAGTCGCTCTTCGGGTGTTCGCTCTTGCACGTGATGCCTATGCCGTCGTTGAGGTCCCCTGCCGTGAAGAGGAGGCTGCCCCTGGGGCGTTTGGCTGCTACCTCGTCCATACATTTGAATAATCTTGCCACCGTCGCGAAGTACTGCTTGCGGTCTGCCGTGGTCTTGGGCTGCGGCGGGCAATAGTAGCTGACGATCGTGATCTGGGTGTCGTACTGCACGAGTTGAAGTGCGAGGCCTCTGCCGCAAAGTTCCCCTGGAGGCTCCAGAACATTGATCACCTGCGCTCCTCTTAATTTGCCCTGGAGCGCTATCATCATGCCCGTGCTGCGGTTGGTGAGTGCTCCCGTCCTCCAGCCTGCGTCGTACACTCTGGCTCCCTGAATTCGACGCTGTTCGGGATGAAGTTCTCGGCGCCATCGTTGAGTACCTGCGAGGATGATGACGTCGAAGTTGGCCGCTTCCTCGATGATTTCCTGCTGCCTGTCGGGCTTCGCGGAGAGCGGGCTGAATAGCAGCAGGGCCAACGACGCTGTCCATGCCGTTGCCGCCATGCGGGCCTCTGCCCACTTAGTTCTTACTCCACATGCTGTGGAATGGCGGTGAGTGTTTGTCTGCTGCCCTGACAATCTCTTGGGTCCAGATGGCAGCTGGACGGAGGGAGGAGGAGGAGGAGGAGGAGGAGGAGGAGGAGGAGGAGGAGGAGGAGGAGGAGGAGTAGGGAGGAGGGAGTAGGCGCGAGAAGAAGAGGAGGGAGGCACAAGAATACGAACATGAACAGGAAAGGGAGCGTTGTGACAGCCGTCAGCATCCCCAATCCCCTCCCATCTCCCCCTCCCCCACCCTCCCTGGCGACAGCGGCGGCGGCCACGACGACCACGCAGCCGCTGCCGCCGACGACGGCGACGCCGCTGCCGCCGACGACAGCGACGACGGTGACTGGGGAAACCAAAAGATGCCGATACCGCTACTGCCTGGACCTCTCCCTGGGCGTTGTCCGAGTTCTGACCAAAATCTCGGGGCGGATCCAGCGGTGACGACGAGGGCCTCCCCCGAGGCCCACAAGGCGGAAATGAGGCAAAAATAACAGTATCGGTACCGCTTCCTCCTCCGAGTGCCGACGACGACCACCACCACTAAAAGAAGGTAAAACGCTATAAACATAAACTATTGGCGCTTCGCGCAGATTTCTTAGATCTGCGCCGGACCCCCCTCCCTGGCGCGCGGAGCACGCCAGGGGCGGCGCCGGAGGCGCCGCCAGGGGGGCCCAGCGCGGATTCAAGAAATCCGCGCGGAGCGCCAGAAGTGTAGGCCTACGGCGTTTCTCTTCCTCGAGTCACCTCCCTCGGTGGGGCCGTCATCATGAGGCCCGCCGAGATCGCGAGTTTCTTGGCCGACCTCTGGCGCTCGGCATCCTCCTCGTCCTGCCCCGCCGGGGCTGGCGGCGCCGACGCGCCTGCCAGCATCGGGGGCCGCCTGGAGGAGGGGAGGAAGAGCAGCAAGGAGGGAAAGGGAGGACAAGGAGGAGGAGGAGGAGGAGGAGGAGGAGGAGACCAAGGAGGAGCGAGGGAGGACGAGGAGGATGAGGATCGGCAGCGCGCCGAAGGGGGGAAGTAAAGAGGGACAGGCCTTCTCGGAAGGCGGCGGGATTTCTCAGATGGCCTCGCGCCTTCTGAGTTGCTTCGTAGAACGCTTTACAAGCTTCTCAGAATGCCGGAGGCGTCCTGAGACATCTGACAAGGCCAAGTCCCTGCACTGTCTCCAGAGGAAAGGAAAGTGAGCAGAGCGGAGTGACGTGGGAGGACGAAGAGGACGAGGCGGATAGAACACGGGAAGCGAGAATAAAGTGGGGGAGGAGGAGGAGGAGAAAGATGATGAGGAGGAGGATGAGGCGGAGGAGGAACAGGAGGAGGAGGAGGAGGAAGAGGAGAGGGATGAGGAGGAGGAATCAGGAGAAGGAGGAGGAGGCGAAAGTTCTACTCTCTGGGAAGAGGGTTAATTCTCCAGAAACATATTAATTCTCTGGGTGAGCGTCTGGATCCCGATGGGACGTTGATGATTTGGGCAGAAGAGTTAATTCTCCGGGTGGAACCCTATCAGAGATCGTCAACATTTTGCCGAACTTCAATTTCCCAAAACGAAATACGAGCCCGTAAAGAGACGCCGAAAATGTCGCACCACTCTAGCCTCGGCTGCCCGAAAAACGAGTTATTCCGGAGTGACGAATCAGTCGTCGTAGTAGTAGTACCAGTAGTAGTAGCAGTAGTAATAGTAGTAGTAGTCGTAGTAGTAGTAGTAGTAGTAGTAGTAGTAGTAGTAGTAGTAGTAGTAGTAGTAGTAGTAGTAGTAGTAGTAGTAGTAGTAGTAGTAGTAGTAGTAGTAGTAGTAGTAGTAGTAGTAGTAGTAGTAGTAGTAGTAGTGGTAGTAGTAGTAGTAGGAGTAGTCGTAGGCGTAGTCGTTGTCGTAATCGTAGTCGTAGTCGCAGTCGTCGACAACACCGTAGTCGTAGCAAGTAATACTGGTAGTACTGGTAACGTTGGTGGTAGTAGTAAGATTAAAAGCAGTACGAGTAGTAGTAATAGTAGAAGCAGTAGTGGTGGTAGTAGTACTAGTAGTGGTAGTAGAATGGTAGTATTAGTAGTACTAGCCTTCTCAATACGAGAAATAGTACTAGCAGAGGCAGCGGTAATAGTAAGAACAGTAGTAATAATAGTAAAAAGTAATCGTAACGGCGGTGGTCGTGGCCGTGGTAGTGGCAAACGTAAAAGGTGCATTCGAAATGGTAGTACGCGTGGTAGTAATCGTAGTATTATTCGATGTAAATTTCGTGGTCGGGATAGAAATAGGAGTAGAAATAAAAGAAGTAGTCAAAGTAGTAGAAGTTGTAGAAGTTGTAGTAGTAGTAGTAGTCGTAGTAGTAGTAGTAGTGGTAGTAGTAGTAGTAGTTGTAGTAGTAGTAGTAGTAGTTGTAATAGTAGTAAAAGGTGGTATTCGTAGTAGCAACACGAGTAGCAGTCGTAATCGTAAGAGTAACAAGAGTAGCTGTAAAATTAAGTCACATTCGCATAACAAATTAATACGAGCAGTTAGAATAGAGGTGGTCGTGGCCGTGGTAGCGGTATTACAAAACAACTGCGATCGTGATAATAATATCAACGGCACGGTACATAGACGACACACATCCGGGGGGACAAAAAAAAAAAAAAAAAAAAAAAAAACGTACACGAGACACGTACGGAACAGTTTCGACGCGTGAACAAGACGACTGGAAACATGGACGACACTATACAACAAATATACATACATTTCTGCGCAACAAACATGGAACGTCTACGACACGTATATGGAACACGCACGGAACACCTATAACACATGCAACCCCGTGCGTAACAAACACACAACATTCACGAACACTATACAAACCAGATGCCACACATGCATACAAGGCGTACCCGCAACATATAGGACAACCACACGTGACATATACAAAAAGCAGACGGCACGTATACAAAACGTGTGAACAAAACGTCCACAACACGCATACGAAACGCATATGGCACGGATGCGCACAACACACGGAAGAGGGATGCTACGTACGCGAAACGTATGCGTGGGCGTATACGCAACGCATACACATAGCAATCATACTCGTCACCGTCGTCGTGGTAGCCATTGTAGTAGCCGTAGCAGCAACGATAAGAACAATATTCAACAAAAAACAAGTAGTCGTAGTCGTAGTAGCAGCATTGTGAGTGGTTGTCGCAGTAGTACTCGTAGTGAACATATTCGTACCAGTGAACGTAACAGTAATGATTTCGTAGTGGTGGTGGTAGCAGCCCTGAAAGTAGCAGTAGTAGTAATAGCAGTTGTTGCTACAATAGTGGTAGTGGTAGTAATGGTACTAGTCGTAGTAGTAGTAGTAGTAAAAGTAGTCGTCAGAACAGCAGAAGTAGTAGTAGTAGTAATACGAGTAGTAATAGTAATCGTAGGAGTAGTAGTAGTAGTAGTAGTAGAAATAGTAGTAGTAATCGTCGTCGTAGTCATCATAG